AGCGAAGCGCGAGGGGAAAGGAGATGGGTCGGTTGAGGGTGGAAGAAGAGGCGGGGGAGGGGTGGAAGGGAAGGCTCGGAGGAAGAGGAAGAAGAGGTGCGCGCGAAGGCAGATCGAAACGCAGGAAGGGAAGAAGAGTGGTTAGGGTGGTTAGGTTAGCTGGATGGTACCGGGGGAAGTCAGAGGGTGAAGAGACAAAGAGAGAGAGAGAGAGAGAGAGAGAGAGAGAGACGGCGAGGGATAGCGGGCGGACGAGAAGGAGAGAGAAGAAACGGTACGGCAAGGCAGAGCGAAGAAAGAGAAGCGTTTCGCGTTCTTCTCTCTCACGTCAGCCGTTCTCCTTCTGCCACGGCTCTTTTTATGCTTCCCTCTTCTGCCCGTTCGAGATATAACGGCGGGAAGAGAAGAAAGGGAGAGAGGAGAGAAGAGAGCGAGAGACGGAGAAAAAAGAAGAGAACGGCGAAGTTCTCTCGTTCTTCTGGATGAGTCAGGCGCAGGTCAGACGAAGGGGAAGGACGAACAGGAAGCCGGGTAGAGGACAGGCAGTGGGAGAAAGAGAGAGAGAGAGAGAGAGAGAGAAGGGAAGGGAGAAGAAGAGAGATCGTGCGAAAGAGAGAGGCGACAGCGACGGGCTTAGCCGGGAGAGAACGCGAAGACCCGAAACGGGGACAAAGAGAAAATGACAAAGGCGAGAGGGGCGGCCGATTCGATTGGAAAGGCAGGCAGAGGGGCCTCTTTCCTTTTACCAGCGTTTTCTCCGTATTACGTTCCGTACTTTCCGTTGTTCCTGCGCTCGCACCAACACACACACACACACACACACACATACACACGCCCGTACACCATGTGAACGTGCACACACACATACACACGCACCACCCGCGTTCTCTTTCCTTTCTGTCCTCCCCCTCGTCTCCGTCGACCTGCTGTCCCATCCTTCTCTGCCGTTCTCCTTCTGCCTCTCCTCGTCGTTTTACCGCCTTCGTTCTCCTCGTCACTATTGTACATATGTGCACATGTGTACGTTTGTCTATGTGTATACGCGCCTCGTCTCAATCGTCGCGCGAGGTTTCATGTCGCGCGGCTCTACGCTCCCGCGGCGAGAGGGCGGCTTTGTACGTGGGTGAACGGGAAAATGTCTTTTGAAACCTTTCTAGGTCGCTCTCGATCGCCCCACTGTCAGTCATATACACGCGCGATCCCACTCTCGAGAAAACGCTCCGGTGCCGTCGCCTCGCTCGATGATGGAGCCGGGCCCCGGCTTCCCGCTAAATTTCGGCCTGAGACGTGACAAGGATATATCGCACTTCGGAGATCGACATATAAAGCATCTTTGATTCAATAATCTTCGGGCGTACGAAAGTCGGCAGTCGTATTTACATGAGATAGTGGCGAAGCTACTGCGCAAATTCTCGCGAGGCGTTCGAAGGTCAAAAAAAGTAAAGCGAAACAAGAAGGAAGGAAAAATGGGAAAGAGAATAAAAAAAAAAAAAAGAACTATTGAATCGTCGTCTGCGTTAGTTACAATAATTTAATCTTTGAGCATACATTTGTAAAAAAATAATACGTATTTAGATGATAGATTCTCCCTCACATGCAAAATATGCACGTTAATTAGATAATTGTCTTAATGAAAGTTGCAGCTACACATTTAAACTTGGAGCTTAAGCGAAGAAGGCGAGGAAATCATTCGCCTCTCGTTTTCCAGCGGAAAGCCTTTCATATTAATCTGTCAGCATAAGATTCTCATATTGCGTCGCAGAGTTAAACATCATCCTATAACACGCCCACCCGTCGCCGTCGCGACATTTCACAAACGAAGTTACGAACGAGTGTGCTATTGAGACAGTGCGCGCAGCGAGACTCGTTCTCGCTTTTGCAATTTGTAAATCCCGTCGTGCAGACATTACGGTATCGCGGCGCGATTCCTCGCGTTCCCTCTCTTTTTTTCGCTGATTCGCATCTGGTCGTCCTCCGGAACTCGATCCTTGAATCGTGCCGGGTGAAGAAAAGAAAAACACTGGCAGGAAGAGAGAAAGAAGCGATCGATGGAAGAAAAGAAGAGACGCGGAGAGAGGCTGAGGAGAAAGGCAGAAATATCTTTCTATACAAAAAAAAAAAAAAGGAGGGGTGAGAGGGAGAGAGAGAAGCTGAGACTAGAAGACGCGCGTGAGATAAAGAGGGAAGGAGAGAAAAGATGCTCTATCGAACGCAGCGGGGAAACGAACGCGAGGCAAGGCTGAGAGAAGGAACAGTAAAATTGTGGAGAATGTGCACGCGCCATCATCAGGGTGGCCTAGATTCTGCCAAGACCTGCTTTCTAGGCAGCATTTCTCTTTATCATCGGCGGCGCGCGAGCGCGACGTATAGGCGAACCGTTGCACGACGCGCGCAGAGAAAATCTTCCGCGGGATGCACGAACCATTCGTCGCGAAACAGAATGAAAGATGGACATTAAACAATGTGATTCTTAACCCGATTCGATCGCGAGCGTTCCCTCGCGCTTGCATTCGAATCAAGGCTACATTTTTGTGTCGTTTCAAATCGCTGTGTGGAACGTCATCTTGTGGACGAAAGATATTCATACGTCTTCGCTGAATTTCTCCACGTTAACTATATTTTTTATCGTATATTATACGATTAGCGTGTATATATTTTATGATTAGTACCCTTGCGTTATATTTCGAATAACAGTTATTGCAAACTTCGTTCAACACGAAAATAACAGTTGATGTCAGAATTTTTCGACGATTTGATTCGTGCATACTTGTTTAAAGAAATTGCAAATCAATTAAGTGACGGGAGAGATATCAGTGCAAAGAAACGGTAAGGATTTTCACGCGAGATCAAGCACTCGTTTGCAGCTCTTACCACGCGACGTGACGAATTTATTAACGTATCGCGCTGGGAAGAAACGTTGACGTATGATAACACAACTGCGAAAACTTTGCCGGATCAGTCATCATCAATCATCGGCGATTTTCTCGTATTTGGCGATCATTTAATTACCGATAAACCCGTACAGACATCGCACGCGCACATGTGCGATGAAACGAGCGCTCCGAGCCTTTCGTCGGTCGTGTCACGCACGGCAATCGACACGCGATGCAATGTGCACGACGAAATACGACCACGACGATCGGTCAACAATATACACGAAGCTTTGACGAAACGCGAGCGGAAAGACAAGTGAAATGTGTGCTACTAACATCGGAAATCTATTGATCTTGTGGAATCGGTGTTTCCGATATTTCCAATATCGTTGCCATCAAAGTCAGTCGACCGAATTAACAAGGACAGTCAGCCGTATTAATATAAGAGTTTTGCTCCATCGTTTTATTACGTTTTTTTAAATGTAGCATATAACGTAATATATAATAAGAATACGTAATAAAAAAATATTAAAATATTAGAAGTACTCGAAATATGTATTTAAAAATATTAATTTACCGATCCAATTATCAATTTATGCCGATTGATTTACTGAGTTAATTAAAATATTTGTTCTTTGCACATATTGGGCAATATAATCTCAAATAAATAACAGAAATGAAAATATTTGCATACTAATAAAGATAATTTAATTTAATGGAACATTTTATACATCAAAAAAAAAAAAAAGAAAAAAATTCAAGTCGTATAAGTCGTCGATCAATACTCTCATTTCGAAATATTTTAATCAAATTATTTCATGAACACATATTCTGGAATTTAATTCTGAAAACAGTAGCTGATCTTTCAACTCCTGATATATCATTAGCCGTTCAAAATCTGCATCGAAACCTTCTCCCAACGATTTATCTTGCTGACGCGCCTGTATTTTTACGAAACATTATTCAAATTCGGACGAAAAGTTTCTCAAATTCTTTCGATAGACTTTCTTTCGGAAACTATCGCGTCAAGTGGCTCACGATGCATAAATTCCCGCGCTCCTGCGTCCGATGCGGTCGCGGTTGCATCCTACTGCATCCCGCGCATTCGTAATCTCTGATTATAGGACGGTACCGCGGCACGTGACCTACCGTAATGGGTGACACGGCTGTTTCGATAGGTGCACGCGGCAGTACGGGCAAAGCGAATGAATGCCGTGCGGTTGCGGAGACGCGTGCACGAGCTATCCCAAGAACCGCTTTAATTCGTCAACTTTATTTGCATGACAGGTTATTTAAGCGCGAGAAGCGCAGCACATCGTCGTCGTACGTGTCGCACGCGCATTTCCACGCACACGTTCGGCTGCTCATCCAGCTGTGTGCGTTCGCCGTTGCATCCTGGAGTCAAAACAATGCGGCCTCGTCGTGGGAAAACGAGGAAACTCGACAGATTTATCAATTTCCTTGATTACAACGCGACTAATGTCATAGAAACGATACATTCAGTATATCGATGTATACAGAATGGCATGATTAAATGGCATGATTAAAGATTTGCTCCTAAATCAAATTGATTATCGTAACAATCACCGAGCACTGAGTTTCATTCACACGGTACATTTATGCGTTAAGTACTCGCCTTACTTTCCTCATTTTCTCTAGAAACGTTCCACTAACGAGCCGCTCGTCAGTTTATCGAAATACTGACGAAACTTGAAACAGATTATTAAGATTTATAACGCTGTTAACATTCATACGCGTAATTTTATGCGTAAAAGCGGTATTGTCGCTCATTCGCGTTTCACAATTGAGTCATCGACTGGCGCACTCGTTCGAGAAGCACGTGGCCGCATTGATAATCGAAGGAAAAAAAAAGAAGAAACGGGCGCTTGCTTAGCGCTAATGGTGGTCGATAGCGAGGAATGTGACTATCGCTTTCACCGTCAAAACAAAAATTTCCAAGTGGTGAGCGCTACAGAAAACGTATTTTAGTGCGCTACGTTCGGGATACCACGAAGAGTACAAACAAATCGTAAATAGATCGAGATACCGAATGTAAATAATCACCAGGCAGCACTAAGAATCGCACTCGTTTCGAACGTTAACCAAAAAATTCGTGACAGTTCTTACCTTACCATGACCTGACCCACAAATCAAATCGCAGCAGTAGTAACGGTCCAAAGTTGCAATCGGAACTTGAACGTCCTCCGGAGAAACAGAAAGGAAACAGTCCTCACGGCGATTGCCAATTTCACGTTCCTCCAGGATCCGAGGAGGGGGGGGGGGAAGGGGAGAGTAGACACACACTTTCGCCCGTATCAATTGATAAACACACGAAGTGCGAGGGCGCGAAACGAACGGTTTCGTCTCGAACGTATTACCCGCGTAATTCACGCACGCACGCACGCAGGCTGTCACGCACGTACAGCCGGTATTTGCCGTTGTCAGTCCTCTACGAGAGGCACGCACGCATCGCGTTGGCCACTGGCAGCTGTCACTCACGGATTGCCCGTGAAAACGTCGCGGCCCGAAGTGGCATAGCGAATCACGGGGAGACAGAGACAGCGGGAGAGACAGGCGAGAAGGCAAGGAAGAGGGAGAGGGAAAGGGAGAGGGAGAAGGAGAGAAAGATGGAGAGCGAGATCGCGGCGAGTGAGAGATCAGGGTGAAAGGGGGAGGAAGAGGGAGAGAAAGAGAAAGAGCATGCACATGCACACACCAGGGGGCACTGCGATGGCGGCGGCTGGATGGGCCGTACTCCGTTGCGGACGGTGGCGCAAAGCGATTAAGCGATTTTGTTGTGGACCTCGATTCTTCCCTTCGTCGGCTCTCTCTTCCCGGCTTTCCACTTCTCCCGCGCACGCTTGCCGCCTTTCGCCTCTCCCGCGCCGGCTGCGCTTACGCCACGAACGCGCCCTAGAACGGAAACCCGGCTTTTTACTCCCGCTACGCGTCGCGCGATCCCCACCGCCGGCCAATGCCGTGACGACATGCCGTCGAGAACGACAGGGCCGAACGATCGGTTTCGCGCGTGGGTGCTCAAACGAGGGCTCCATGCTGGCATGTTCAGAATGAATATAAAGTTTGGGAATTCGAGTTCGAGCTAATACACATTTATATTCGAGTTAACTTTTGTCTAAAAATTGTTGTATCATGTGAGAAAAGTATTTCGCTAATATTTTATACAAGATATATTCAGAAAACTGTAACGTTTCATAAAGAAATAAGTAATATTAATGATCACTCTCTTAATAATTTCTAAATAGTTACCGGGACGTGTGTAGGTGCTGTTAAAATGTTTCCTTATAATCGCGTAAAAGAGAGTTGTTATATGCAAATAAGATCTTGTTTCGATAATCCAGCGCTCGAGTAGTTCCGGAAGAAAGACAACACGTCCCAGTTCCATAATCTTACCGGTATAATGCGATAAACTTATTTTTTAACCTAAATATAGAATACACAGATACAGTTAACGAATAGCTTTACTCGAATGTAAACAATGTATGAAGAATTCTATCAATTATAGGTGCATTTAGAATTTTAATGTCATTATCCATCGTGTTTATCACAACATTTATCGTAATAAATGTTATTACCCTGCATCCTCGAAACGCCGGTAATCTTGCGACGATCCTTGGCCGTTCTCCTTCCAGCCTCTACCATCGTCTTCCTTCGATGCGCAGAAGACGCGTTAACGCATTCTGCGCCGCGTCTGGCTGCGACGGGACAAGCCGTTTCCGCGCGTACGGCGTTATCCTCTCGCACACTCTCGCAGAAACTGATCGATCGTAAGCGCGTCGAGCGCCGTACGGCCATTGTGTAAAAAGGACCCATGACGCTCGGATAGTGCACGCTGAGGAGTGGACGCATAGTTTCTCCCAAGTTCGCCCTCTTGTGATATTTAGACTGTGCCAATATAGGTGAGTACGAACACGTCGTTTTCTTACCTGCTCGCTGTTATCCGGTTCGCGGCTGCGAAAACGCGATTGCGGAGAACGCAGTCCAGTGGAAAGTTCGCGGAAAATCAGGTCGTGTTCCGCCATACCACGTTTCCGCGTTCTTGCGTCGTCGCCGGATAAATCGCATGTTTCTTTTGACGTCCAGAAGCGTACGGTAAAGTCGTTCCAGCGTGAAATACTGGGCATCCGCGAGATCGGCTCGATCGAGTTTTCCAGAGCTTTTTTCGAAGGTTTTCGCCATTTTGTCTCTCCCGAGACCACGAAGTCGGCCATTACGTATACGCGTACCAGATTGCAATCCTAGGCCGGTTGATGACGTATGAGAACGCGGCGAAATTTTAAGTGCGTTCGTTTTTCACAAGTGTATTCGTTTTTCGTCATTAATCGTCTTCTTGTCTGGACATCTATAAAACGTGCGGAGATTCAGGAAACTATTTCTCCATTAGTTAAATTAAAAAAAGAAAAAAACGACGGAGGTTATTGCACTTTAAGCGGGTTATCGTGTAATAAAAGTAATGTGCGGCTCTTTCAAGTCGTCGTTTCTGCGGCAAAGTTGTGAACACACTTGTATATATATTCACGTTTTAAAGTGTTTAGTGATTTACGGTCTGCAGTATGCAACGTAATACACAGGTGATGAGAAATTTAAACCAATTGTAATGCATATTTACATTTGCGATTTAAATTAGCGTCTGAGTGTACGTGTAGTATATGCTTTTATTCGTATCGCACTTGTAAACATCGCACGGCAAATTAAAACTAATACAAAGACACGTTGCTACATGATGTAGCTAGTGTAATTGTTTGCAAATCCTGGCGATTTCTCGAACATAAAGTAATCTTTAATTCAATTATGACAAGTGATGCAACGTGAATATCAATCATTTTTGTTACATAACATAGTTCTTATTATCGAACGTGCAATTATCGTGGTAATATCGTGTTGTGATTGTTGATTATATTTCGCGTTACACCCAATTTGCTCGTATCACATATACGTTGTGTTATCGCTTATATGAGATGCACTTCGCCAAATCGACAATCACTAAAAATAGAATAGTGATTGAGGTCGAGTATGAGAGATTCGGGAAAGCGTCAGCCATAACTATTAAATGACGCACGGTGAAAAGCGAGAGAACGCCCGCCATGATTATTTGACGTCAAATTTCCCAATATTAACACAATTACCCCGATAAAATTTCTTAACGATAATGTCTACAGTGTGAGATATCGTAATAAGGAGCTTTAATCAAATTTTTTTCAAGCGCGATTGTTTGTTTTGATCGTCGAGGTGTGATAAGAGGTGCGATCGACTTATTTCAAATAGAATTGTACGATGGTGTATAGTACGAAAGGATTTTTAAGAGAGTCTTCTTGCAGTCCTTGACCATATCATATCAACTGTTTTTACTCGTTTTAATATCGCAATTAAATAGCTGTTGTTAACATGCAGTTAGTCAAATACCTGGAATTTTTGTGATTGTATTTTTTATTCCATTATTTACTTCGAGATAAAACGTAATAAAATAATAAAGGTAAAATTGAATGGAGTTATGTCATATAATGACAGACCAACAAATAGCAGACATTACATATAATAACGAAAATGTTGATAATGTAGCATTTTCTCATAAAACAATGTGTTATAAAACTTTTCACATGCCTTGCAGCTTTTACAAATATAATTACTTACTTATTTTAAAATATAAATATTTAATTTTAGATGAGAAAATATTAATGTTAGTATACAGAAAATATCAACATTGATGTATGAAAGTATTGATTCCAATTCAAAAATTATTTAAAATTCTTAATTCAGAAGATTTCTCACATTCGAAATGAAGTTGTTTTGGGTAAATTACACAATAATTAGAATGAATAAAATTAAGATAAAATTACATAATTATTTGCATAAGAAATATGACTGAGATTTTATATATGTTATTTCCAATGGTCTATTGTTATGTTGTAATCATAATTACTCGTCCAATTAAGACATCTATAAAACCGTAACGCATAACTTAAATAGATCATTAGTGCAAATTTTTAATTGTTAATCGTGATTTATTGCAATCGTATGACTAAGCAATTTATGCCTATTTATGCCAAAAATGAATACGTAATGAAAAATTTATTACACAATATTCTTTTTTATCATGCTTAATGTGTTCCTTTTTTTATTATGCGTTTTTACTTACAAGAAACATTAGACATTAGAAACGTAATTAAAAAATAATTTGAAAAACAGAAATTCCAATTTAAGATTAATATGAGATAGTTGTGCTGTAAGTAATGTGAGATTGAGATAAAACTAACTATGATAAAATAAGGGATTAAAATTTTTCACTGTTGGCAATGATTGACCTTAGAATACATGTAATTTAGGGAAATTTATTTTTCAGTGCTTGGCTATATTGCATTTATAATCCGTAGATTATATGTAATAAATTCTATGAAATGTTAGATGTGTGCGCTTATTGGAAAGGAGTCGACCATTTCTATCTCATACTATACATATTTCGGTTTTGTCGGCATCAGGGATATATCCTCGATCACGTCGCAGTAGCGAATTTAAGCAGCGCGCATGTGCATCGTTTTTCTGCCTTTTTCCTTCTTGCTCGTTCCGGGACGCGTTTCGTCCGCGCATGTGTGGACGTCTGCGCCCTCTGACGACGATTTGAGCGAAAGAACCGAAAGGCGTTGAGCTGCGCCATTCTCGAAAAGGGCAGCGCACGAGGCGTACGCCGGGCCTGGGACGCTCCACGCTGTTTTTACTTTTCACCGACTCCATTGCTGTGATATTAGATTGTTTTTTATCCGCTTGTTAGGTGAGTGAGCTAAACATATTTAATCGTGCGCGATTAATGCGATACGCTTGTAGAGTTACGCGGCGAGTCCTGTGAATTCGCGGGTGACATGGCGCGGCGGGCGGGTCCATGAGATGGCCGAGTGCTTTCGATCCGCGGCGAGATGAGCTATATCGAGTCATTCGCGTCACGCATTCTCGTCTGCGATACTGGGGTTTGTGCGAATTTCCCGTGTGAAGTAGCGGCCGTTTGCGATTTCAGTGCTTATTGTCCAGACGCGACGCTCGAGCGCGGGGAATTCGGTCGGTGTGAGTGTACGCGCGCGCGCACGGAGATTGATCGCCGTGGTTTTCCTCGCGAGCTTTTCATTCGTCGCCATTTTGTCCGGGCGCGACCTCGTGAACCGCCATGTTGCGATCATCCACGTTTGCTACGTTTTTGTGGTTTCCAGGGGCATCGCGGGGCGGGAGGCACTTCGCGTCGTCGCACAATTCTTCCGAATTTTTTTCATCGTATCACTATATCTCTTTCTCTCTCTCTCTCTCTCTCTCTCTCTCTCTCTCTCTCTCTCTCTCTCTCGCTTTACTAACTGCGCTCGCGCAGTATGTGTTCTATAATCGGAAAAATTATCTGTCATTGTTTTTCTTTCCGTGTGTATGCATGTACTCTGCATCGTCTGACGTAACGAGCGCTTACGCGAGATAACAATATAAATAGATTACGCAATATATCGCTTGCGGGTTGAGAAACAACTCTTTATCTCTTTTACTCTTAAATGTCCTCGCGACTGCGTATCGCTCTATTCCCCCCCGCATATATCCAGTTCTTTCAGTTCCCCACCCTTGCCGACCGCGAGCCGTATGATCGATTTTCCGTATTTATTACGCGCTGCTAATGTAAATCGCGTTGACGTAAATCAACAATGATTCGTCTCGATTTTATTTCTTGCTCGTCTTGGGCGTTGACATGAAAATCGATACGTCGGGATGAAAATGCGTATCTTGATTTTTCATTCGTTCCATCGTTCGACAGTAAGCTTTTTGAGACTAAATCGTCAGAACTCGTTACATTATCTTGAGATAGATATTTCTGACATTTTTTACGGTTTTTGCTATTTTTGATAAAATTATTTTTCACCGGTTACATCAAGTTTTCATTCCGTTTTTGTTATTTTTTATGCATTGTAAATTGGTGTTGAATATTTCGCGACCATAAAATATAAAAGTTTTCGAATCTACGAAAAGGTTTTGACGGCGCCGGTGAAAAAGGTGGTGATAGTCATTCCTGAGACCTAGGGGCCTTCGTTGTCGCTGTTGCGCAAACTGTGTGCGCAGTTGAAACGCTTTAGCTGCGCGTGCGCGATGCTTGCGCGTCCTCCTGCATCATCCCCACCAGATAGTCCATTACCGTTACGAGACACGCACAAAGGAAAAGGCCAGGAGAGTGATCCGACCGACGCGCTTGCATCGCACACGGCCATTTTGGAAGCTTCAGCGCTTCGTTGCGGAGCTTTTCGCCTCCGTCGTCCTCCCGCGAGGGCCGCGTGCGAAAAGGGGAAAAGAACAGGGTGAGACGGAACCGTCTGACCGATAACCGAAAGTCAAAAAGCGTACTTTTACGGGTACATCGTCCGGCTCGATGTGCGCGATAAGAATCGGTCGCGGGAGGACGAGATAGCGTCGGGTTGGTCGACCGATCGATAGCACGTACAGAGAAACCGAGAGAGAAAACGAGACTTCCTCAGTAGGTTTCACATTCGTTGCATACCCGGTTTTTGTTTATCCGTTCGTTCGCCTGCTCGTCGTCATCTCGGCTTGTTTTATCATTTGTGCAGAAACGAGGAAACGAAGCCAGAACTACCATGGAGGACGACCAGCAATTCTGCCTAAGATGGAACAACCACCAGAGTACACTAATACAGAATTTCGACACACTCCTCGAGAGCGGTACGCTGGTCGACTGTACCCTGGCAGCGGAGGGGAAGACTCTCAAGGCCCACAAAGTAGTCCTCTCCGCATGCAGTCCATACTTTGAGGTGAGTGAAATGTTCACGCTTATTGCTATTTAATCCTGCAACATGTTAGTCTGATTTTCTCGAGTAGTTTGATAAAAATTTTCTGTTTTGAAGATTTACTGTGTGTGTATTCAGCTATTTCCTTTATATTCTTATATATATTACAACAAATTGTAGAACGGTGCGTTTATTTGGAAATGTAGCTTAAATAAGTAATGTTGACAACGTTTTATCAATGGTAATTTCTTAGCTGCTTATTGGTGATAAGATAAATTGAAAGAACTATATTACAGGATAATGATTATTACAAATTATAATTTTTTGTCATATATAGCTTCTTTGTCCTGTTGGTTTGTTGGGTTAGATCAATACGAAATATGTTAAGAGGGAGTGAGATAGTCTGTTGAGAAGCGAGAGGAAAAGAGGGAGGGGGATTTCAAGTTGAAACAAGATGGCCGTGCTTGTTGAACATTGCCTGGGCAAGAGTGTAGTGCAGTGGGGGAGGGAGAGTGGGGGAGCAAAAGCCTGAAGCCTCCCTCCTCCTAGGTCCTCTTGATCAATACAGGGAAAGCAAGATGGCTGATTTCCAGGGCACTCGCCCTGGGATTTTACCCTGATATGGGTGGGGATGCAAAGAGGAGGCTGTTGCAGCAATTGAATGATACTTTATAAAAATTAATAACACTTGAATTAATCTATCGTTCTGAAGATAGCTTTATCTTCTATTTGCGGCATAGCAACACATAATATACTTTATAAACAATATCTTATTCAAAATTTATTGCATTTAATTTTTAAATGTTAATATCTTATGGGAAATGGCTGAAGCAACATTTATATTTTGGAAATAAATGCTCAACATCTGTATAGATGTTAGTATCATAGCTGCTTATCTGAAAAGAATATTTTGTTTCGTATTTACAGTGCCTCCTCAGCGAACACTACGACAAGCACCCAGTCTTCATACTCAAGGATGTTAAATTCAAAGAACTAAAGGCGATGATGGACTATATGTATAGGGGGGAAGTTAATATTTCCCAAGACCAATTGGCAGCACTTTTAAAAGCCGCTGAGTCACTGCAAATTAAGGGCCTTTCGGAAAGTAAAACAGCTGGCAGTGATAAGACGGAATCCAGGCCACAGAAAACCGTCTGCACCGTGCAACCGACAGCACCATCGTTAGACATTCCACACGCGTCTTCCGGTCTGACGATAGAAAAGAACAAAGTTCCTAGGCAGACGCAAAGTTCCGTGGGGGATATCCCCGTGGATACGGATAGTCCTCAGGGGTTAAAAAGGGGTCTTACCTCCTCCTCTAGGTAAGTGAATTAAAGAAAAAAGAGGTTTAGACTTGAAAGTAAGTTTTTTACAGTTTGAAAATGTTGCTAACAAATGTTCTCCATCTTGATCGTGCAGGGAAGGCTCGCCGCAAAGTCCAATATCGAGAAAAAGAAAAAGGTTTCGAAGAAGAAGCTTAGACGAAGAAAACACTATAGAAAATCAAGATGCATCGAGTTCCAGTGATATTCAGACTCAACAACAAATGGGTATACCGGCGCTTGGAATCGCGCCTGTGGCGGACGAAAAAACACACGCAGATTCGGCTGATACTCTCGGCAGGTCAGCTTTAATGACGCAGTTGACGAAATCCGCCGACGAGATGTTGCAGGTAAACACGCGACGAATTTTTCTGTCTTTCGCCAACGCTCTAATGGAGGCTGTCGCAAAAAAGCGCTGTTTTCTTTCGCTACGTTGGTAGAGGAATATTTCGTACATTATCCTACTGTCTTGGATTTATTCTTTTATTATCATTACAGTGCGGAAACGGTGCGAGACACTTTTTTTCTGTGAATTATTTGAGTTGGTTCTTTCTATAAGATTCTTTGATGCTTCCGCGATCTCTAATGAATCTTATTATTCTGTAGCTGCCACTTGAAAAACCCGAGCCAAATGATAATCTCATCGAGCCAAAGTCTGAATACGAGGACCCTGAGGAGGCTGTCGAAGACCTGACGCTAGACGATGATATGAATGATCTTAACGACATGGAGCAGGACACAAATAGAGCTGGACCGTCACACGATCCCACCCAACACCCCGGTAAGTGTATAATCTTATCGATCGTTATTGATTTTTCGTTTTATCGTAGCGGAATACAGGGTTTATTTCTCTCAATTATACAATGCGTAATGACGTGCGTTTGAATTTGCGCATCGCTAAATAGCGTGTCGCGTGTAAGAGTATGATGGAGAGCATACATATAGCAAATGATTTGCGTTATATATGAAATTACATGTTCTGGAGAGTCAACGACAGCAGCGAATCTTCGATCCAAATAAACTTTTTGGATCGAAGCGGAGCTCGACGTCTTGCACGATTGGATAGTGATTCTTGAACGGAAGCCGCGATATTGCCGGGGTCGTGTTACAGTCAATGTTTCTCGTTTGATCGTAGATAGGAAGGGGGTTGGTTTGTGCGTTGTGAACGATTGAGTAGCTTCGGTGTCGCGGAATCGTTTCGTTGTTTTGTTTGTTATCTGTTAAAACGGGACGTGTAACAAATTGGCCGACACTAGCTTAGGTTTCCTCGTTGCAGGTAGGGGGGCGGGAGCGCGGTCTCGGTCGAGAGCGAATTTGAGTAGTGGCGATGGTGGTGCCCTATGGGCTTCGCATTTCCTCGAATGTAAAAAAGTGCCAAACATGAGGCGGCCACGCCCGGACGTTGACGTAGGCGCGTTGCTTAAATCACTGGCGAACAAGCAGGGCAGAAAGTATAGTTTAGATTCGGTTAAAATGTCCCTGGAGGCAATATTGCAACAGGGAGTTAGCACCACTCAGGCGTCCGAGATGTACGGCATTAATCGCTCAACGCTGCAGTTCTATTTGAAAAAATTGAACGTCGTCAGGAGGAGATGGAGACAGCAACCCACTAACACTCCTGTCCAGCCTAGACAGACTTAGTGTGCGCGTGTGTATGCGCGCTGAGTACCCGTAGTGTCCTGTGCACTGCTCTTCTACGTCTAGTCCGAAGGCGAGCGAAGATCGTCAGTATTAAACAATCACTGTGTACTTTTATTTGAAACCTCTTTGGAGACTTGTTCAAATTCGGGATCTTATTCTTGGATCGTTCAGATCGAATGTACTGCGTAGAATGTTACTGCACACCGTTAAAACAGCATTCCTTCTTTGTTCCGCACTTTTAACGTTTGAATTCACTTTGGAATCGAAACTCCGACAAGAATCACTTCCGTACTCTGTCTGTTTAATAGTAATAATAATCCAACGATATGCTAGTCAAAATATGGTGAGCGACGTACAAAGTATTCCAACTTTGAATAGTCTGAAACTATCAGTATTATTTGTCTGTTCCTTAAGTGTTAGGTGTAGACTATTTAAAAACTGTATATTATTTAAAATCGGTGTGATTGTGTATACGTGTGTGCTGCTGCCAGTGTGCGAGAATGATAAACTGTGGGCGGATATCCCACGTAACTTGCCAAATATTACTTGCTGTAACGAGCCGTGAATATAGAGGGGCGATTAGGAGTGTATTATGTAATATAAATGTACTTTAAGCACTCCCATTGTATAAGGGAACATCGTGCGACTTTCCGATCGTGAAGCCCTGTGTTTCGCTACATAAATCCTTGGTCGGTCTTACATATGCGCCCCAATATTTTTGTTCCCCTTTAAAAGAGTTTAATGAATAAAGCACTCTTTATTCCTAAAATACATTTCTCATTGACTTGGCTGTAAATCATTTAAGATTAAGGATTTCGAGTGAATCGATAACTAATCTTAATTTTAACTCTGTCTGAAACCTCGACAATGCCGCTGTTGATTCTGCGGCGATATTACGGCTCGTCGTGTTTATCACGCGTTGACATAGTTGCGAGAGGAAAATAAGCATCCAATGCGTTTTTTTTAGACGTTAAGACTTATCGGAGGATGGTATGTATTATTTTAGCAGGACTTGGCACGTGGCATATCACCGGTGACCGAAGTAACGCGGGGGGCGTCGTGGGTTCTGCGATAGGAGCACCAGGAGCGACAGATGAGGCCTTGTTAGCAGCTCAGGAAGCAGCGCAACAAGCTCATCGCGACTCGCAAGGTAGGCTCATCCTCACCATTTTCCGTCTGACTCCAACCCCCGTAACAATAGGCACTCGTAATTGGTTCAACTCTCGTCGAAATCTCGAGCGTGTTTCTTACGCGAACATCAGCCGTTTCCACGATAATATGCAAATTTTCAACATATTTATGGATTTGTCGAATAGAATGGCCGCGTACTGCTTTGAATGGGCTCGAGAAACGTGGAAAATTTCGAATGGCCGATATGCATCTTTGTAACGTGTCGGAATCCGACAATGGCTCATTCACAAGCGAAGTACGTTGTAAAAGTTTCGATGACTCGTAGCACGGGTATCCACATGCACGCGTGTAATTATATGTGCCTATTGCGCAGGCGGGGCGGGGCTTGTTTTTTCTTTTGCTGTCGATAACGTGGTTCAACCTAGATTCCGGTGCGTTCAAGTGTAGCACGGTCTCTGAAAGAGCTTTTTTTTTTGTTTCCTATCAGGGCATGTAGAGCTTTTCGTTGAATTCTTGAGTTCTTTATGTATCTCTTTCTATCTTTATTCCCTTTCTTAACGTAGCGCCGCGACGCGACGAGGCTGTCGCAAGACGAGCCGTGCGCGCCTCTTTTGTTGCCGCAATCGATTCTTCATAATCGTTTGTTCTGTTGGTCGACTCGTCTTCGTTAGCCTCGCAACGCGCGACGCTGCGGCCTCTCTCTCCTATAAAAGGAGTGCGGCAGCGCGGAGAAGACAGCCCGCAATCGACCAGGGAGAACACGAGATCTCAATCTCTCGTGTCAATTTCTCACTTTAAGAACGAATTGGAATTGTAGCTAGTTGTACCTTTATTTTCGGATGATGGTCGCGCGATACGATAATAGTAATTAATAGTGAGCCCCTCCGATCGCGAGATATATTATTTTTATGTAGATGCATCCATAACGTGGACGTGTAGTAACGGGATTAAGAATCGACAGAGATCTATCGTGTTTTAATTCGTCTCGTAGAGCAAAAAAAAAACGTAGCTCACACTTGTGACTTCAAAAAATTTTGGGATTTTTGTTAAGTGAAACGCGTTGTCTTATTATTTTTAAACGCGTATATTACGGTGTCTGGCTTTGCGCGCTGCTAGTAGTTAAAAAATAGTTCAATACGTGGTATGGATAGCTCGAAATTTGTAGATTTGAAGACAGTAAATAGATTGAGTATAGATGGGTAGAGGTAGGTAGGTCTCTCTCGATGGTTTCTGCCTTCGAAATCGGTTCACTTTTTTTACATACATGAATTTTTTCCAAGTCGCGCGCTGCGTAATTATTCCGGTGATAAGAATAGGAATTCCGACGCGTAATCGCTTTATGCAAAACAATGGCTCAACCTTGCGGAAGTTGTAGGTCAGCGGTTGTTAGATAACTGAGGAAATTTCGGGTTTTTTGTTTCGCCGTTGCTATGGGAAATTGAAGCCGCAGCTTCGACGAAACGTGAGAGTTTCTCGGCGAGTATAACGAGAACATAACACGCCTGCCCCCGGTCGGTGTGTAAAGAGCCGATAGTCCCATTTCGCCTTCGAGCTCCGCTCACCGTTACGCGCCTTTGGAGAAATTCGATGCTGCACGAGGAACGATTTTATCGTACCGCGTTTCGGCGACGTTCCTCGCCTTCGAGATCGTTTTACGCTGATCCTCGGCTTGGATCCGTGATATAGCAGCCATAGGTGTTCTTCGCAATCGCTGCGAGACGTCTATCACATTTATGAAGCTGACTCGACAGGTTTTCTCAAGACCGCGAACCGATGCAAAACACATTTGATAGTAGAAAATTACATATCTTTGTACTCCGTACTTTTTTTTTTATAAAACTAATCGTGCACGATAAATGCGTCGCATTAAACATCAATATCGGAAAAGAAAATGATGAAGAGATAATGAAAAAGAACTCGTTCGATTGTGAATCAAAATCGAATCCGAAAAGTCTTTCGCGTCCGTAATGAATTATGTTTATTTGTGCAGCGATATGATATATATTTCGCCGCGATAGGATTTATTAGGATTAAGCGACGGAAAAGTCGCAATCATCGAGATAATTTATCGCTCAACGAGGACGCGTTTATGTACGCGATGCTTTTATTATGAGACATCGATACAGATGATTTTTGACGTTTGCGAGTTGCTGTCATGAAGATAGAGCTTATAGAAAATAATGTGCCGTTATTTACCGATGACCCAGATTGTCGCGATCTCGCGCATAGGGGCCGTTGAACCGTATTAAGGCGACGGTATATATTACATAACGATAAGAGTCGTAGCGATCACCGTAGCACCGACGAGCGATTTCGATACGAACGTTTCTCAGGAAGATAAAAGATTTATTGCAATTTTATTTTGCGCGTGCGATAACGAACACGAGATTGATAACGAATATCACACCGATCTCAAGTATGATACTGCGTAATCAAAGTGAGCGTGATAATTTGACGTAAACAAACTAGTCTGAGAAAAATTTGGAAATTTACGTTTTACTAGGTAGATTATTATTTTTTTTTCTTCACGAGGTTCTTCGTTCGAAGTAGATTAAAGAAGACGAGGGTGTATAACAAGATTTCTTACCGTCGGCCGTCGTCTCAGTTTGGCAACAAGTATGCCAGCTGCGGCTTCGTCGTGTTACTTGCATCTGCCAGCCGGCGACAGCTGCATTGCTGGGCAAGCAGATGCAGCTGGATGCCGGTCGGGTCGGTCAGCCCAGATGGTCGAGCCGAAATTGCGCATTCTTCGCGGCCCGGAAAATAAGCGTAAAATTCAACAGATTGAAAGTAACATCTCGCGCTATTCGCGGCAATCTTGTAGATTTGAAAGTAACACCGAACTCTTTGACGTGAATAACGATTCTTCATGGCCGAACGAAGTGAAATTCGCGCAAACGAGAATTCCGTTTATGCAGAAATAATTAGAAAGCAGTGCGACGAGGGAGAGACACATCGAGGGAGATATAAATGATACGAGGAGTAGAATCCAATTTTTATTTAATAAGAAGTGAAGTTAGTTCAGGCAGGAGGGGGCTTTTTTTTCAAACGCGTTTTTTTTTCTCTTTTTATAGTTTTTAGGGTACATGATCGCCTTTAACAAAAGGTGGTCCAACGTGGGAGGCAAGGTAAATTCGGAGAGAGAGGAGCGATCTCTCTGTCAATGCTAGCGTTACTAAATTTTCGTATTCGTCAGGCTCGCGATCGCGCGCTGACGCGTGTGATTCTCGACGGTATAATAATTCATTTACGCGCTAGTACGCGTGTACAGCTCTCGTTTGCCAGCTCGTCGTCGGCAGACGCCGGAGTGCGTTCTGCCTTCACTTTTCCTTCTAGTTAGCGTCGCTTACGTATCGCGCGCGTAGTTGGAAGAAAGAATAAAAACAGTCGGACAGATGCTCGCATTGATAGCGAAGGTCGTTTTTTTCACCGTCAGAGACTTGTTACCTTGAATGTAATTTTCGAGCGATACGTTTGAATGAAATACCAAAGTCATCATCGCCTCTCGAGTCACCGCGATATATATCGATCTCGCCGCTTTTCAGGCGCACCGAGAGAAAAAAAAACAACACACCGCGTTTCCTTCCATTTTTGTTTTGAAGTTTCGACTTCGAGTGCCCTTCTCACTTTTTCGTTTACCGCTTTTGCATCTCCACGTACATCGTTAGAGTGGTCCTACTTTTCGCGACAAAGAGCCGAGGTTCGCGATTCTAGGGCCGGAGTTGCGCCACGTTGTTCTCAGCTCGTAGACACCTTTCTTTTCTCTCTCTCGTGAATTTCGTGGAAACACGAAAAGCGTTCCCGGCGACGAGAGATACGGTAAAGGTAAACGCCGCGCGGAACACGCCTGTCCGAAGGGACGTCTCTTGTGCTTTTTTTTTCTGTTTTTTGTTTTTGTTCTCGTGGTTGCAACCACGCCACGCTTTTACGGTCCCACGGCCGTTTCTTCCGACAAAAGTGACACGATTGCGTTTGCCTCTGCCGATCCCGGGACGAGAGTTACCCTCAAATCCCAAAAAAAAAGATAATGAAAGAGACGAAAATCAAGCCCATTGTAGCCGTGACGTGTTTTTTTTGTTTGGTGCGAAAAGAAAGAGAAATATCACAGCGTATGTAACGCGGCCGTGCCACAACAAAGATCGAGGAACTTGCCGCGGGGGTCGCGTTTCCACGCGCGCGGAACGGCGCACGTTCTTTTATTCTTGTCTCGTTGAGATCGCGCTTTCGATGGAGAACGTCGGGTGCGTTGACGTACGGCCAGTCGTGCACGGATTCTCTCTCTCTCGGTAGAACTGTCTATTCTCATACCGAGGTCACCTGTGTGGGGGGGAGGGAAGGGGGATGGGTGTCTCGCGTCTCTTCCTCTCTCCCTCTATCTTTCTCCTTGTGCACGACGAAGGAGCGTGAGGAGCCTTCTCGATCGTCCTTACGACTCCGCCTGCCTTCTTCTCTTCCTGCCACGTGCAAAACCTGTCTCTCTCGCGCCTATCTAAAACGCGCGCTTCTCACCAACATTCGACGACTGGTCGTAAGTCGCGAAACCGACGCTCGAACACGTTTTCCCTCGCCCGAGGGAAAATGCGTTTCGTTCAATCTTCGGTCGGTGGAAACGTGACGAGGATCGACGCTCGCTGTCAATCCTCACCCGCGTTGCGTTCGATTGTACATATATATACACGCGTATGCACGTTGGGTTGTGGCTCTCTATAAAAAGGCACGGTCTCTCTGAGGGGAGAAAGAAAAAAAAGAAACGAACAAAAAAAGCACGTGCCACATCACAGATCTCTTGGTCGCGCGAGCGCGCGCGCGCCAAGAGGGTTGCAATTTATAATATAATGATGTGTAATAATTTATATATTACGTATTCATATTTATATATATATATATATAATATTTTATTTCTTTGTCCATTCCGTGTATGCGTACACTCGATAGTTCTTAACCCATTTGTGCCATATATATAGTTTTTCTTTTTTTTTTCTTTTTTTTTCTCTCTTTTTTTTTTTGCGTAATTCGTCT